TCCTAGCTGTCCATTGAATGGGGAAACACAGAAAAAGGAAAGTTGCTGCAGCTCATGACGCAGTCGCTCACCTCCTCATCTGCTATTTCATAATGCCATCAATGCTGTCTTAAGTGGTGGCAAATAATAAAGTAAAACTTCAGTTCTATGTTTTTCAGGAGACCGAAGGGGAAGAAACGTACAAGTGAGAAAAATGCACAACTGAAATTGAGTATTATGAGCAATGGTGTACTCAATATTTTTATACTGGCACACTCCACTCATTGACCAACTTCAGTTTTGAATTATTTAGTTAAAGAACAGTAAAAACTGTAAGTCACATTCTAGGAGGGAAGTAATATCTGTGCACATTTTTCTTGAGCTTCAGAATCTCTTCTCAACATATTAATTGTAAATAGTTAAGTGATAAGTTACAAAAGAAGCAAAATTAATAACTTTCAAATCCTTATTTGTATCAGTAAACAACTGCAGATTTTATTTTATTTTTGAATTGCTCACAAAATTGTAACACCCCCTGGCTCTACTCCTTCCACTACTAGCAAAAGGTGTAGCTACATTTATGTTCAGAAGCAAAACAAGGGGGCATCTCGGCATTTACTCAGTGCATTACAGGAACTGGGTAAAAACCTGATCAAGGCCGAAAGCGGAAGTATCGATCATTGATTTCTTAAGATACAATGTTAATCTACAATGCACGTTACACAACTCATGTACACAGGCATCAATGCAGCTGACGCAATCAGCGTTAGGTGGCGCACGACAATGCAACACTCTAGTGACACTAGCCAAATTGTCTTAATAAGTCTTTGATTCCCTCGACTTTCATTATTTCCTTTAAATGAACCGAATTTTTATTGCGCAATAATGGTAACTTTGGGGACTTTCATAATGAACATATGAACAAGAAAAATGAATAAAAGTAAAAGGCGTATCTGAAATAATTTAGCATAGGAAGGCAAGAAATGAATCCCAGACTTACTGAAAACAATGTATAAATATGAAAAATGTATAATTGCACAACGTATAAACAGAGTCCGCTGAATATGCATTTGACAAATTGCCAAAACTAGATGAAGTACTCTCAGACATGGGTTGAGAGATAAAATAAAGACGCAATATCTAATTACACCTGCCGATGTATTCTTGGCACCCAATGAAGATTTGTCAAACGATTTATACTGATAGCTAGTGTAAAGAAAATCTCAAATGGTATAGTAGTAATAAAACACAGCAATGAAGAGAATAATTAAAATGGACACCCAAGATTTTGTTCCAGCAATGCAGTCAACTTTGTTGCATGGACATACAGTGCAATGCCTGATAGTAGTAAATCTGCATTTTGCGAAGCATCAAAATGAAAAGAATTAATCTTGATAGACGATTATACATCCAGTCACAGACAAGACAATAAAAAAAATTCTTAGCAAAAAAAAATTCCCAAAAGACAGAAACTGCAACATTCTCTCACATGCTACAAAGGATGCCTTTAATGTTTTGGGATTTGGCAACCCTGGTGTTGAAATCTGGCAACTGACAGCTCTATCATAAAGTTGGATGTTTTGAGGTTATACGTACTCAGAACACTTTGACATACGAGCGCCATTTGTGTTGTTTACAGTAACTTAAAAGATTCATCTTGGCCCAAAAATGGAATTAAAAACATTTTTGTGCCTATATTTGTTACAAACTTCCATGTGAATTAACCAGCAACAGCGCCATGGTATGACACAATTAATTCAATTTTGCGATTAAGCCATCATCAGACAGTGTTTATCGACTTGGTATTGTGAATCTCAATTCTGTCCGTAGTTCATTCAAAGACATTTCACGAAGGTCGTCAAAATCAGTTGTTGTTCCGAAAACCATTTATGCTGTGCGTGAACTGATATTGCAAGATCGTCATGAGACGTATCGTGAGATTGAGACCACCTTAGGCATTAGTGGAGCCAGCATATATTCAATATTACATGAATGTTTGACTGTCAAAAAAATTTGTTCGCGTTGAATCCCACACAATTTGTCAATCGCGTAAAAAATTAAAAAGTTAATGTTAAAAATAAAAATGTTGTTAAAAAAGCATATGGCAAGAATGCAAAAGGAAGAACATATTTTTTAGATAGGATCAGATGTAAAATTTAAAATACAAATTTAATGCACACAACAAAATCAGGGAATGTTAAAAAACAAGGACAGTGTAGGAGGACAAGAATCACTTGACAGAAAGATACAATGATACATGTGAAGATGAATCTGGCAGTGACAAACAAGGATTGTTATTTTAGAAACAAGAAAACAGTGATAACAAAAGCACAGAGATTTAACCTTATCATGAAGACAATTTAAAAGCCATTACAGCAAATAGCAAAGGGTAAAATTCATGACTATTCCTATTCATTTTGCTACTTTAGAATTGTTGAAATACTAAAATTAGTTATACCTGCTGACTTTGGTGACTGGGAACTAGCTCCAGTTTTCTTGTATAGCAAGGAGTTGAAGAAATTTGCTAGAACTCCCTCTCCACCCCCAGCAACACCAGGTTTTGAACCATCAATCTGCAACAAGTTTAAATCACAATATGTGTAGCGCAACTATCGTTATAAATTTCGAGTTTTCAAAGAATAATTATTTGTGAATTGTTATAAAAACTGCAATAATATTTACACCAAAATTAATTGTTCCCTCAAAATATGAAAAGAAAACAGTACAGAATACCCATAATTATAAAGAAGAAAATGACAGTATGTCCATTCCAAATCACTTTTAAAAGAGATATTGAAGAACACTATACACTACTAGCGAAGAATAAAAGAGGCACTGAAGAATTAGCAAATTAATATAAAAGACATCTACGATAGCTGAAAAACATACTTTATGACACTGACAGGTCAAAAACGAAGAACTTGTGGAGATGGATACTCTGCTACAATCAAGTGCACCAATAAAATTTGAAAAGATGGAAAGATTTAATATTGCATGTACCAAACAATTAGAAATCACATAGCAGGGAGTGCAGAACCAGAAGTCTGTTTGTTACATTCCACCACTCACGTACAGACAGACAGGG